GTAAGTGTTTTACTTCAATTACTTAATCACCTAACCATATATGTAACGAGAAAAGCTTTTCTGATGAAGGGTCTAGGCCCGAAACGTCAGCCTCTCTGCTCCTATGATGCTGCTTGGCCTGCTGTGCTCATCCAGCCCTGCACCTTGTTGTCTCGGATTCTCCAGCATCTGCAGTTCCTACTATCTCATATATGTAACGAGACAGGATTAATTAAGGATCTTGAAGCGAAGGGTCCTCTAGGCAAGATTTAATACAAAGATAAAATTTTGTATTAAGCTTGGGGATGTGACATGTGGGTCCATAACTAATGTTTTAAACAAAATCTGTTACAAACGTATAATGGCAAAGATGGTTAACATAGACTAAGGAAGTAGGTTAAAAGACAAAGAAGTGGTGACAAACTTTTAAAGAGAGATTTCATATTTCTTCCAAGATATATCCCATTGAAGAAGATGCACTATCAGAACGTTGCACCATTTTTGGCTAACTAAGGAAATGTCATTAAAATTAATTAATTAACAAAGAAAATTACAGCACAGGAACATGCCCTTCAGCCCTCCAAGCCTGCACTGACATGCTCGTCACAACCAAAACCCTCTACCCTTCCAGGGAACTGTATCCCTCTACTTCCATCCTATTCACGTATTTGTCAAGACGCCTTTTAAAAGTCACTATCGTATCCGCTTCCGCTACCCCCCTCAGCAGCAAGTTCCAGGCACCCACCATGCTCTGTGTGTTTTTTCAAAAAAAAAAACAGTCTCGTACATCACCTTTAAACCTTACCCCTTCAACCTTTAAACCTATGCCCCCTTGTAACTGACTCTTCCACCCTGGGAATAAGCTTCTGACTGTCCACTCTGTCCATGCCCTTCATCATCTAGTAGACCTTTATCAGGTTGCCCCTCAACTTCCATCTTTCCAGTGAGAACAACCCAAGTTTCTCCAACCTCTTCTCATAGCTGATGCCCTCCATACCAGGCAACATCCTGGTAAATCTTTTCTGTATCCTTTCCAAAGCCGCCACATCCTTGTGGCAACCAGAATTGAACACAATATTCCAAATGCAGCCTAACTAAGGTTCTATAAAGCTGCCACATTACCTGCCAATTTTTAAACTCAATGCCCTGGCCGATGAAGGCAAGCATGCTCAATGCCTTGTTGATTACCTCTTCCACCTGCGTTGCCACTTTCAGTGACCTGTGTACTTGTACACCCAGACCCCTGTGCCAATTAGTACTCTTACTGGTTCTGCCATTTACTGTATATCTTCCATCTGGATTAAACCTTCCAAAATGCATTACCTCACATTTTTCCAGATTAAACTCCATCTGCCATCACTCTGCCCAAGTCACCAACCGATCTATATCCAGCTGCATCCTTTGACAGTCCTCATCGCTATCCGCAATTCCACCAACCTTTGATAAGTTTGCCGATGACACAATCAGACCAGTTACATTTCCTCCAAATCATTTATATATATTACAAATAGCAAAGGTCCCAACACTGATCCCTGAGGAACGCCACTAGGCACAGCCCTCCATTCAGAAATGCACCCTTCCACTGCTACCCTCTGTCTTCTATGATCAAGCCAGTTTTTTTTATCCATTTTGCAAGCTCACCTCTGACCCCGTACAACTTTGTCTTCTGTATCAGCCTGCCATGAGGGACCTTGTCAAAGGCCTTACTGAAGCCCATGTAGACAACATCTACCACGCTACCCTCATCAGTCATCTTCATCACTTCCTCAAAAAACTCAACCAAGTTAGTGAGACATGACATCCCCTTCACAAAACCATGTTGCCTGTCACTAATATGCCCACTTATTTCCAAGTGGGAGTAAAACTGTCTCGAAGAATCGTCTCCAATAATTTCCCTACCACTGACATAAGGCTCGCTGGCTGGAAATTAGCTGGATTATCCTTACCACCCTCCTTAAACAAAGGAACAACATTGGCTATTCTTCAATCCTCTGGGACCACCCCTGTAGCCAGTGAGGATACAAAGATTTCCCTCAAGGCCCTAGCAATTTCCTCCCTTGCCCCTCTCAGTGTTCTGGGGTATATCCCATCAGACCCTGGGGACTTGTCTACCTTAATGTTTTTAAGACCACCAATACCTCCTCCCTTTTGATCTCCACATGACCCAAACTATCTACACCCCCTTCCCCAGACTCGCCATCCACCAAGCCCTTCTCTATGGTGAATACTGATGCAAAGTACTCCTTTAATACCGCGCCCTTTTCCTTTGACTCCACAGATAAACTTCCTTCCTTGTCCTTGAGTGGGCCAACCTTCTCCCTGGCTACTCTCCTGCTCATTAAATATGTATAAAATGCTGTAGGATTTTCCATAATCCTGTTGGCCAATGACTTTTCATGACCACTTTTAGCCCTCCTGACTCCTTGATTAAGTTTCTTTCAACTTTCCTTGATAAATGCTTTGTTTTTTCTTTTTGATTAGGCTCACAATATCTCTCGTTATCCAAGGTTCCCTAAACTTGCTATGCTTATCCTTCATCCATACTGGAAAGTGCCGATCCTGAGTTCCCAACAACTTACACTTGAAAGCCTTCCAAATACCAGATGTTGATTTGCCCTCAAACGTCTGCCTCCAATCTGCATTCTTCAGTTCCTGCCTAATATTGTTGTAATTAGCCTTCCCCCAATTTAGCACCTTCACCTGAGAACTACTAAATTTTCTGGGCTGCTTTAAAAAGAATCCATCCATCACTTTCACTGATGGTTGCCCTGAGGAAGTCACTTCTGATCTTTGGGAAGCTTCATGAGTTTCTGGCCGTTTTGGGGTGAAAAGAATTGGAACTGTCAGTTTCCTTGTCGGTTTTTGTGCTTTTTTTTTCCCCACCCTCAGTGACCTGAAACCCAAAGGTCAAAAGCCACTGACTTTGAACAACCTTCACTGAAATTGATATGTGTTTTTACATGGGCAAGTCATGCAGCTGCCACTCTGAGCTGACAAATACTTCTCTCCAATCCAGCAATCCCACACTTTGTATCTATACATCTCATGGGGGATGGGCAAGTAGGGGTCGATGAGGACAGAAGCAGAGTGAGTCAGGGATGAATGCAAGGCAGGGTGTGAGTGAGTAGGGGTAAGGTAGGTATGTGTGTGTGTGGTGTGGAAAGTGGTTCACTGAGTCTTTCGTCATCATGAAATATGGAGTTTGGCTGAAGCCTAAATAATGTAGAAACATTTGTACAAAAGTTGGTGGTGTGGTAAATAGCACGGAGGAAAACAGGAAGTTATAGATGAGTTGGTCAGATGGATAGGGCAGTAGCCAATGGAATTTAATGTGGAATACTGTAAAATGATGCATGTTGGAAGAACTAGCAGGCATGGGAGTACACGATGAGTGGTAGGACCCTGGGTAGTACTCAAGATCAGGGGGATCTTGTATGTGTCCACAGACCCTTGAAAGCAACAGGACTGGTGGATCAGGTGGTTAAGAAAGTATATGGGATACTTGTCTTTATCAGTCGAGGCACTGAATATAAGAGAAAGGAAGGTTATAATGGAGCTGTATAGAACATTGGCTGGACCACAGCTGGAGTACTGTGTGCAACTCAGGTTGCCACACGGGATGTGATTGTGTGATTGCATGTTTGCACTGGAGAGAATGCAGAAGAGCTTCATTAAGATATTGCCTGGTTGTATGGGCTTGTTTTTGTTGGAGCAGAGAAGGCTGCGAGGGAACTTGATTGAGGCCTTTAAAATTATAAGGGGCATAGATATGGTATATAGGAATAAAATTTCTCCCTTAATGGAGACCAGGGTGCATAGATTTAAGGAAAGGGGCAGGACTTAAAGGGGATTTAAGGAGTAATCTTTTCACCCAGAAGTGGTGGGTTTGTGGAAGCCCAATGTCTGAAAAATGCCTGTGGTTGAGAAACATGGGAACATAGGACCATTCAAACACTTGAGCCTGTTCTGCCATTTAATAAGATTTGTGTGGCTGATCTGTGGCCTAACTCCATATGCCTGCCTTTGGTCCATATCACATCATATTTTTGTTGAACAAAGGTATATTGATCTCAAATTTGAAAATAACCAACAAAATTTGGAGATTTTGTCTTTGGCTACTCTGACCCAGCAGATTGGAAGATTGCAAATGTAACTTCTCTGTTCAAGAAAAGAGGGGGACAGAAAGCAGGAAATTGTAGGCCAGTCAGCTTCATGTCTGTCATTGGGGAAAATAGAAACATAGAAAATAGGAGCAGGAGGTAGCCATTTGGCTCTTCAAGTCTGCTCTGCCATTCAAGATGATCATCGCTGATCATCCAACTCGGTGCCTTGTTGTGCTTTCTCCCCATACCATCTGATTCCTTTAGCCCAGAGAATGTATAACTTTTTTTCTTGAAAACATTCATTAATTTGGCCTCAGCTGCTTTCTCTGGCAGAGAATTCCATAGAATCACCACTCTCTGGGTGAAGGCATTTCTGTGCTAAATGGCCTACCCCATAGACTGTGATCCCTGGTTCGGCACTCCCTGATCATTGGGAGCATGATTCCTGGGTTTACCCATGTTTCTCAACCACCCTTTTGGATATGGGGTTCCACGTACCCACCATTTCTGGGTGAAAAGATTACTGCTTAAATGCCTTCTGCCCCAATCACGGGGCAGCAAAGTGGCTCAGTGGTTAGCACTGCTCCCTCACAGCGCCAGGGACCCGGGTTCAATTCCACCCTCAGGTGACTGTGCAAACTCCACACAGGTATTCTCCCCGTGTCTGTGTGGGTTTTCTCCAGGTGCTCCGGTTTCCTCCCACAGTCCAAAGATGTGCAGGGTAGGTGGATTAGCCAAGCTAAATTGCCTGTAGTGTTCAGGGATGTGTAGATTAGGGGGATGGGTCTGGGTGGGATGCTCTATGGGTCAGCGTGGACTAGTTGGGCCAAAGGGCCTGTTTCCACACTGTAGGGATTCTATGAAATACTGCCCCTTACCTTAAGTCTATGCACTCTGGTGTGTGTTAAGGGGAAAAGT